GGGGGGGGGGGAGTGGTGGGGGGCAGAGGAGGGGCTGGGGAGTGGGGAGTGAGTGATTGTGCAAGCGATTGTGAGCCTGTGCGCTGGGGGTGTAAGGTTGTGAGCGCACGAGCCTGTGCAGTGAGTGTGCACTCAGCAATTGTGTGACTGTGCACACTGGCTTGCATGCTGCTTCTTTGCACGTGCCCAGCACTGGCACAAACTCTCGGACGTATGCAAAGACACGCCTCGGTGCTCCCACAGTGGCGTATTGCATATACACCCACCGCCTCTTGCACGATCACCTTGCCTCGTGCCCAGAATGGCTGGCTGTCCATGTGCACAATCGTGCAGAATCACTCCTCGCACACGTGCGAACCGGTTTGCTAAATGTTCTTTGCACATGCACCTAATGACTTGCACAATCACTCATTGCATGTTCACAATTGCTCCTTACACTTGTGTGCGCACAGTTGCTTGGGGCACAATCACTCATGGCACACTCATCACACACATATACAATAACTCATGGCCTGCACACAATCGCTTATTGCAAACTGTCACCATCATTTGTTGCACAATCACTCACCCCTCACTCTTTGCGCAAGCTCACAGTCACTCCTTGCACACTCATTGCACAATTGCTTATGCTCACAACTGCTTGTTGCACTCATCCAAAACTCATTGCATGTGCACAATCACTCATGGCACATGCTCACAATTTCTCAGTGCACAATTGCTCATTGTAAGTGCTCACAATCGCTCACTGCACAACCACACATTGCACGCTCATTACACAATCACTGGTGGCACGTGCTTGTCCTCACTCCTTGCACAATTGCTCATTGCACACTGATGACCCCATCACTCATGGCAAATTCTCACAATTGCTGGTTGCACAATCGCTCATTGCAGAGGGTCCCCCAATCCCCCTTTGCACAATTGTTCCCTGCACCAGCACCCGTTGCACAATTGTTACACAGTTGCTCATGGCACACACTCACACTTGCACAATCACTCGTTGGAGATGTTCACAATCACTCACTACACAATTGCTCATCCCACACTCATTCCCTGTGATCACAATAACTTTCTGCGCAATTCCTCATCACACAATCGCTCATGGCATGTGCTCACAATGACTCTTTGCACGACTGCTCCTTGCACACACACCTACTCGTTCCTTGCACAATTGCTCCTTGCACAACAGCTGATTGCAGACTCTCCTAGTTTGTTCCTTGCATAATCGCTCTTGCAGATGCTCACAATCATTTCTTGCACAATCTCTCATTGCCCAGTTGGTCATTGCACGCTCATTGCACAACTGCTAATTGCAGAGGCTCACAACTGCTCACTGCACAATTGCTTGCCGCTCTGTTACTTTTTGCACACTCATTCCCCAATTGCCCATGGCATACCCGCTGAAGCGCTCCTTGCACGGCTGCTCGTTTCTCCCCCATTGCGCCATCACTCATCGCACGCTTGCTCATCGCACATGTCGCACGCTTGCACATGGCACCCGCTCACAATCGCCCCGGGCCGCCTGGGCCCCAGTTGGGGCCGTGCCCGCCCCCGTGAACCCCCCTGATCCGCCCCCTCCCCGTGTCCCTGCCCCAGGGTGAACGACAGCATCCTGTTTGTGAACGACGTGGACGTGCGAGAGGTGACGCACAGCACGGCGGTGGAGGCGCTGAAGGAAGCCGGCTCCATCGTGCGTCTCTACGTCATGCGGCGTAAGGCCCTGGCCGAGAAGGTCATGGAGGTGAAGCTCATCAAGGGGCCCAAAGGTCAGAGACGCCCTGCGGCTGGGGAGCCCCCTGGATAGCCCCCCTGAAACCCGCCTATGGCTCGGGATACCCCAGACAGCCCCCCAAGCTCCTTGGGAACATCCTCCCTCTGAGAGACCCCCCCCCATGGCTGGGGATGTGCCTGTGCACCCCTCGTCTTCCCTTGGAGAGACCCTGAGAACTTGGGGGTCACATACACCCCCTGCCCCGCCAGCCACCCCCACAGCCCCCCTCCTGCTTCCATCCCCTGGGGCCTCCCGAGAGAACACCCCAGATCCCCCCTAGATCCAGGGACTCCATCATCCACCCCCCTGGTCCCCTGCTAAGGAACCCCCAAAGAGAATCCCTCAATACCCCCTGGTGTCCCACCCACTAAGAGACCCCCACCCCCACCGGATAACCCACATACTGGAGAGAGGCCCTTGGACCCAGCACATGCCAAAGCCAGGGGTCCCCCTGAAGTCCCCTCCACATCACCACTAGCCCCCGCATACAGTCTCTGCTCCCCCTGACGGCCCCCCTTTCTTCTCCTAGGAGATCCTCCCCCTCGGGCAGAGGTTCCCCCTTTCTTTCCCGGGATCCCCCCAAACCCCATCATCTCCCCATCCTCCCCAGAGGGGGAACCCCCGGGATCTCCCCCCCCCGTCCCTTTCTCTCTGACTCGCCTCAGATCTGTCTGCCCCCCTGGCCCCAAAAATCTCCCGCTCTGAATCTCTCTCCCCTTCCCCCCTGCTCAGGTCTGGGGTTCAGCATCGCGGGGGGTGTCGGGAACCAGCACATCCCCGGGGACAACAGCATCTACGTCACCAAGATCATCGAGGGGGGGGCCGCCCACAAGGACGGGCGCCTCCAGATCGGGGACAAGATCCTGGCGGTGAGTCACCCCCCCCCGCCCCAGCCAGGCAGGGGTTAACTGAGCCCTGGGGGGAGATGGGCCTGAGCGGAGGGAGTGGAGGGTGGGAGGGGCTTAGCGGAGTGGCAAGTGTTAGGGGAGGGGCCTAATTGAAGGGAGAGGCTTAGCTGAGGGGGAGGAGCCTATGTCTGGGGAAAGCTGAGTGGGAGGGGCTTGCTGGAGCAGGGAGGGGTGCTGAGCTGTGTGGGGACTCCCTGCAGAACTCCCTGCCGCTGGATATCGCCGAGAGTAGAAGAGCCCGTGGGTCTGAGCCGGGGCAGGAGGCAGGTGGGATACTGGGGGGGGGAGATGGGGCCCATGGGTCTGACCCTGCATCCCCCCCGTCCCCCCTCCCCCAGGTGAACAACGTCAGCCTGGAGGATGTGATGCACGAGGACGCCGTGGCCGCGCTGAAGAACACGTACGACGTCGTCTACCTGAAGGTGGCCAAACCCACCAACATGTACCTCAACGACTCCTACGCCCCGCCCGACATCACCACCTGTGAGAACTGTGCTGGGGGGGGCAGGGAGCGGGGCGGGAGCCCGGCCTGAACGGCCGCCCCACCCCAGAGGTGGCCACATCTCAGCCATTAACGCCGCCCCCTTTTCTCTCCCTGCTCCAGCGTATTCCCAGCACCTGGACAACGAAATCAGCCACCAGAGTTACCTGGGGACCGACTACCCCCAAGCCATGACCCCCACCTCCCCCCGGCGCTACTCCCCCATCCCCAAGGAGATGATGGGGGAAGAGGACATACCCAGGTGAGCAAAGCCCCTGCCCCTCCCCTGGGGGCTGCCTCCTAGCAGGGCTGGGTGCCGAGGGAGGGAGGTGACTGGCGCCTGCCGCCCAGAGAGGAAGGGGGCACGGTTTGGGGTGTACAAAGATCACCCCCTTTGTGGCCTCTTAATGGCGTTCATCTGCCAGGGGTGCACACAGTTATCCGTCTGAAGTGTAGGCGCCTGAGTGCAGGAGACGACAGGTGTACCCGTAATATACAGGCGTACATGTAACACACAGCCGCATGCATGATATACTGGTGCACAGGCAGTGGACAACCATGCACCATAATGTACAGGCGCAGAGGTAATGTAAAACCACACATCGTGACATACAGGCGCACAGATAATGTACATCCACACACTGTAAGATACAGGTGAACAGGTTACATACAGCCATGCACGGTAACATACAGGTGCACAAGTAATGTACAGCCACCCACCGTGACATACAGGTGCACAGGTAATGGACAACCATGCACCGTAATGTACAGGCACATAATTAATGTAAAAGCACACACCGTGACATACAGGTGCACAGGTTACATACAGCCATGCACGGTAACATACAGGTGCACAGGTTACATACAGCCAAACACTGTAACATACAGGCGCAAAGGTTACCTATAGCCACCCACTGTAACATACAGGTAATGTACAGCCACCCACCATAACACACAGGCACACGAGTAATGTACAGCCACCCACCATAACACACAGGCACACGGGTAATGTGCAGCCACCCACCGTAACACACAGGCGCACAGGTAATGTACAGCTGTGTACATAACACAGAGGCGCACAGCTAATAGACAGGCAGCCGTGAGACATTCAGGTACCCACATAACACACAGACACCGTTCTGACATACACTCAGCCACATAATGAACAGGCAACTCGGTAAGGTACAGGCGCTCAGATGCTGTATAGGTATTTACAGAATATACAGCTGCATCTGGAATATACAGGTAGACATGTAACACACGGCCACACTTGTGACCTACAGGCTACCATGTAATGTTCAGGTGCCCACAGGATGTACAGGCGTTCAAACAGGAGTACATGTCAAATGTATATGTTATCACATCCTGTAACAGGTGCTACAAGCACAAAGATAAGATATAGGCGCCCTGCCAGTCCATGCAACCCTTACAGCCTCATGATGAAGTACAGGCACACGGGCGCATCCGCAAGGTTCAGGTGTACACCTTGCATACAGGCAAACAGGAGGGGTACTGGCAAATGCACACAGGCGCCGGTGAAAGTACTGGTGCCTACATGTTGTGGAGGTTCAAGAGTGCGCCTGTGATGTACAGGCGCACGAGGCAAACACACACACACACACACACACACACACACAAAGTTGCAGCGACGTACAGCCGCACACGTAATCTACCGTCGCCCACAAGACATACAGCCACCCACTGTAACCTAAAGGGGTCATTACAGTCAGACCTCACACACCCCATCGTTCCTGGGTGCTCTGCATCCCCCGCTGTGCACTCTGGTGGTGGGGTGTTGCGGGACTTCGTCGGTGACTGTCCTCCTTCCCCATGGGGGTTCCTGACCTCTCTACCCCCACCCCACCCCCCCAGGGAACCCCGCCGGATCATCATCCACCGCGGCTCGACGGGCCTGGGATTCAACATTGTCGGGGGTGAGGACGGTGAAGGAATCTTCATCTCCTTCATCCTGGCCGGGGGGCCGGCTGACCTGAGTGGGGAGCTGCGGAAAGGGGACCAGATCCTCTCGGTAAGAACTCGCCCCCCTGAGCCAGCCAGTCCTCCACTCTGTGGCCAAATGGGAGCTGGCGTCCCCTAGAGGGGACAGGCCCCTGCTCCATTCCCTGCCCCCCTGAGCCAGCCAGTCCCTGCCCTGGGGCCAGGTGGGAGCCG